TTTTGCCAATTTTATATTTAACATACAGATAAAATTAAAGTTTGAATTTATATATTATTATTTCAAATTATTTATGAATTTAAACTGATTAAACATTCATACATACATTTAAAATTAATATAAATTCCAACTTCAATTATATATTTAACATCGATATGATATTAATAATAATTTTATATTTATATATAAAGTAATAAAATATTTTATATTTATTCTTATTTAAATCATATTATCAATTTAAATATATAATAAAATATTCATATATACATTTATGACATTCATGTACACATTTCAACTTTAATATTTATGAAGTAAAATATTTTTATTATAAATGATTAAATCTAATTATAAACATTGATACAATTATCAGTTTAAATATCAGATAAAATATTACTATATACATTAATATACGTATATATTTCATTTATATAAATTAATAAATTAAATCTGTAAAATAATTTCATCTAAATATTAATATATAAATTCAAACTTACTGTTAGTTGCCATCAATGACAGCATCAGTAATGTATTGATGATTAACAGCAATAGTGACATTCAGCATGCCCAAACACTCACTCATTAGCATGTAAAAATGTAATTGCTGTACCTACTTTTTAAATACTTTAAAGTGATATCACTGATGGACATTCTTCATGCACAGTACAAGTACTCAACTAATCGCTAATGAAATTGTTTGCTGATCATTATTATTATGGACGATGATCAATTTTATCGATCAGCTGTTGCAGCCCTACACAACATCATACATTTTATGCTAAACAGCCCTCATCACATTAATCAAGCAGCACAGCATCTTTCTAAAACACCAGCTCGTCCACATCTCAGTGTTAGTTCAGCGCCGACATGCCATAAATGACTTAAGTACAATCAGTTGGTGTGAACAGTGTTCGTTTGTCTCTGCTGATCAAATCCTAGCATTCACTCGTGTACAGTACACACCCTTCAACATAACCCACCCGAAAAGCCCTGGCTGTAAATTCTAATTAAATATTCAAGGTGTACAGGTTTCTAAAACTCCAATAGCATGCTATATGCTTGCAGAAGTAAGTGTTTATCCCTGTGGCACTACTGAGCGCTGAGGTACAGCATGCAGTCGCTCAGCTGAACTCACAATAATGAGAACATAATAGTGAGGAGTTGGGATACGATATCAATTTCACGCTTGAGGGCTGTATACATGTAAAATTCATATAAGATGATCATATGCAGCTCATTTCTGGCAAGGAAAGGAACCTTCTCTGAAGTCTGCATCTGAGGTTTTGGGTTATTAAGTGCAAAGGTGTCCGGGGGAAAGTTACTGTGTCATAATATGATGGACATTAAAGAGAAATATCAAATTATAGGCTGGTTTTGACAGACTCGTGCGCTGATAGGTACTCCTGAGCTCCTTTCAGGCCAGTAATGAGCTGCGGAGGGCTGCTTTAATACCGGCCATAATGTTTTTTTGATTGCCCCGTTTAATCTTGCCCTCTTGTGCCGCCCGCAATTGTAGCATCAGACTATTTCACAGTCCCACTCCAAGAGGTTAAACACATTCACACGAGGAGATATGAGCAGAGAAGGAGACCGATGTGCACATGTATTTCCCATAATGCAGTGCTAAACACAGCCTATTGGTTTTCTAAGTTTTCTAAGTTGTCAGAAAGATGGTATTCAGGAGCTCAGTGCAAACGTACGACACTATGAAGTCATAATTACGAGAGAAATCATTTTCTTCAGGCTGAATGTTTCTTCTGAGTGTTAATTAAGGAATCATTGTGGAAGCAAATTGATATTGAACATAAGCTGTAATTATGAATGTTGACATGCACCTTTACTTCCATCTTCCCTGAATATCTCTTTCTCTCCTTTGTGTTTATGCGTGTACATAAACACTCCTTTGTGTTTATGTGTGTACTTGTCACTTCTTCACCAGCAGCTCAACTGTTATGAACAAAACTGCCTCCACCTTGTTGCAAAAACACCACCTCATTTTAATTTGTTTGCACAGAATCTAAATGTATTTTAGTATTACTTCAGGACAATGTGTTATTGTTGTTATTTAGCTTAAAATGACTTAATTACCCAGCAAATGTATACAGTGGTGTGAAAAGGTTTTTGCCCCCTTCCTGTTTTTTTGTTTTTTTTGCATATTTGTCACACTTAAAAGATTCAGATCATCAAACAAATTTTAATATTACACAAAGATAATGCAAGTAAATGCAAAATGCAGTTTTTAAATGATTAATTATTTTATTAAGGGAAAAAAGCTGTCCAAACCTGCCTGGCCCTACGTGAAAAAGTAATTGTCCCCTAAATCTAATAACTGGTTGTGCCACGCTTTGCAGCAACAACTGCAATCAAGCATTTGCGATAACTGGTAATGAGTCTTTCACATCGCTGTGGAGGAATTTTGGCCCACTCTTCTTTGCAGAATTGTTTTAATTCAGCCACACTGGAGGGTTTTCGAGCATGAATGGACTGTTTAAGCATCTCAAATCGGATTTAAGTCCGGACTTTGATTTGGCCACTCCAAAACCTTAATTGAGTTTTTCTTGAGCCATTCAGAGATGGACTTGCTGGTGTGTTTGGGATCATTGTCCTGCTACATAACCCA